CCTGGTTTGATCATCTAGAGGGAAGTTTTTCTTATGAAGAAGTGCGGTCCAAAATGTTTTGCCCTCCTGTGAAAACCAGTCACCCTCCTGCTGAAAACATTAACGAAACCCCTGCTCATACTCTGTAATGAAAAGCTCTCATAAGCGACTGCGACTACTTTTGGCAATGGACGTTTTTCGGCGATACAGTGGCCATTTTGAATTCTGTTGTTTCAAATAGCTATTTTGGGATGTTAGGGGGCAAATACGTACTTATTTGTCCCCTGAGCATCCCATAATACCTATTTGAAACAATAGAATTTGAAATGGCCACCGTATCGCCGAAAAGGTCCATTACCAGCCAGTGTTATCTTTTGTTTTTAAGCTCTTGTAAGTGAACACTCCAAGAGTCTGATTTGCATAAGAGACAGTACTTATGTGAATAAGTGATTCTGGGAAGTTTTCAGTCCCTGTGGATCAGTTAGCTGTACATTTGTGAACCTGTAGCAGGAAAAAATAAAGCAATTTTTAATAATCCAGATAACGGACTATTAATAACTATTTACATTTCACAAACTTTATGCTTATTAGATTAAAGCTCTTGTTAATTAGTGATCAAACTCCATTGTTTCATCAGGAGGTCATTTACAAGATCTAGAGCACACTCTTGTCCATGACTAGCTCTAGTTATGATCACATTTTTGGAATTACTGAGGTGGTCGCTAGCTTATGAGAGCTTGGACTGTATACCAATTTTATTCTGAGATACAAGACAAGGGTGGTAGCAATGGCCCAAGCTCTAAGAAACAATAGAGATTGTGTTCATGATCTAAAAATAGAAGTTCCAGGGAGGTAGTGACTCAATGACAACTACACATGCATGTTACAGAAACTGGCATAAGCTCTGGCCTGATGGGCCACTAATGGCTTGTATGCAGACTTTGCCATTACTGGTAAAGAGAGAGGCAGGGCTGTGATTCTGCCAGCAATACAACACAACACAAGGATCTGGACTGGTGGATATGAGTCTATTGTGCACTAACCAATAAGCCCCTGTGTCTCCATTTTCTTGTAATTTACATTATTTTTTCCAATGTCCTTATTTCTTTTGTTTTGACAAGTCTGTTTCCTTTGTATATAATAGGATTGCAAAGGCCTCCTGTTCAAGATCAGGGCACATCAACTACAGAGCTTCACCTGCTCCTTGCTGAGCCCCCACAATTTGCTAATATTCCACAAGCCTTCCAGACCAGGCTCTTGAGTGAAACTATGTCTGCCATCCCAATCAGATTTTATAAAAAAATCTGTATGAAGCTTGACACATTATGTCGACTGTCCTGGAATGATTTCCGCTTGCTTGCAGAAAAGGTTGGCCTCGACAAAGACACTATCTCGTGGCTTGAACAGAGGGATAATCCAACCGAGTTAATCCTACAGGAATTCAAATCTCAAAAGGATTGCTCCACTGGACGTTTTAAGGCAATCCTTGCTGAAATGGAAAGAAATGATGTCGTGACAGTAATTGAAGAGTGGGTTTTGGATGAATGGAGAAAACAAAAAAAATAATTTGCCATCGTCTTCTGTGGAAAGGGACCTAATTACAAGTTGTATTCATTGGTTTAACTTTTCACTCTCTTGAAAAATTGACAGTTGGTTGAAAACTGAATGCATACTTATTTTGTGTGTTTTGGTAATTTTTTAAAGGTTTTGTTTTGTAGGGAATAGGGGGCTGGATGAAACATGTTTTGCTCACCTAAGTAAAACAGTTCAGATATAACCTCTTACTAACCAAGCAAAAGGGCTGTACTGAGGAATATTGACCTGAGGCTGTGTGCTCAGTCTGTACAAAAACGATCAAAAGCCAATATTGCCCAATGCAGCTTAAGCAAGCTGGGTTAGTACTGTTAATAGTTTATTATGTGGCACTTGCACCATGCTTGTTTTAACTGCAAATTTTGAATTTGCCAGCTTCTGTAACATACAGGATATTATCTTCTTGGTAACTGCATGAAGTAGTGTTTGCTAACTTATTAAAGGCAAAATACAGGTCAAAAAAGGAACTTAGATGTATTTTTCATTTTGTATAGAATTGTTTTCCCTAGACAGTATGTTTGCCCAAAGATATGTGATCATGAAAAAAGCTGAAAAAAATTATTAGTGAAATACTTAAGTGAAGTGATATAGTTACTTGTATTTTCATAACATGAGCAGATTATTTGTGTAGAAAGTTTAAGATTTGTAGTGTGTTGTACGTTTTTTTAGTTGTAAATAACTACAAATTTCATAACTTTTGACTTTTGATAATACAAGGGAAAGAACTTACACTGATGACTGAGTTAAATTTTCTATTAATTTAAGTCTTGATGTACCAGATGCATGTTCCACTTAAGTGCTACACAGTGTGCAATGTGACAGTGAGTGTCCATTTGCAAAAAGTACCATCCTTGAAGTTGTAAACATGTTATAGGAAATAGGACTGAATTCTGCACTGCAAATGACTGTTAAATACCTAGCATATAGTTATTGTGTTATACGACTATTCCAGTGCAACTGTACGACACCCAAGGATTTTTTTCTTCTTGATATTAATTGCCATCGAGTGAACTCCTTTATTATCATACTCACAATATCAATTATTTAATTACTTTTTTGCCCATACTACGTGATCAACGTTTTTGTGATTTGTGAATAACATCTGGCACAGACAGACCCACTATGCGACTTGAGTGCAAAGATTGTGTCGTCAGCTGAGTTTTTTTGCCTTGTTTTCAATATGTAAATAAGATTATTTTCTGCAATTTGTTTTGTATGTAAGCATGATAATTTGCTATAGTTTATAAAACTGCTGGATCAGTGATTGATCCATGTCATGCAGATTTCTGTAAACTTTAAGTAGTCATATTTAGAGATATTTAATGTTCTATGTAATTTGAAGAAAATTTAAACAGATGTATTTAAAAATTACTACGTTTGCTATTTTTCTCAAAAATTGTGCTTTAAGATTTAGCTTTCTTTACTGCGTAATAAGGTGTAAAGACGTTTCTTAAAATTATTAAATCATTTCAGTAAATACTACATTTTTAAAGAAATTTATTTTCTCTAGTAAAATAAAAGGAAGTAAGACTCATGTAGAGCCTAATGATTTCTTTGGAACCTTCCTCGCCACCTTATATCTGCAAATTTCTTCAACCGTGTTCTGTCAAGTAAAGTTAGCAAGCAAAGAAAACAGGCCGGCGATGAAGGGGTGATTCTTTTGTCGCACAATTAATTATCCTTTAAACTTGCTTAATTCGCTTTTTCAGTACTTGAAAACGCCAGCGATTAGAACCCTTCCCTTCTCATCAGCGCCAGAACTCGGCAGATCATAGGCAATATCATTATTATGTATGCCTACAAAAATGATGCATTACAGTTCAAATGCTGCATTCATAGATCGCACAGGCATAAAAAAATCCCCGGGGAACTCTCATACAAAAAAAGGGGGATGCTCGTCGGAAATTCTGGAAAGAAACCCTACAAGGTACCGAGATCCGGTGTTGTGGGCGTGGCTTGAAATGTTATTCACCCCTAAGACTAAAGAGGTACCAACTCTAAAACAACACATCATCTGCAGTCATGTTTTATTCGGATCAATACCCTTAAAGTATCAAAAAAGCTCCCTCTGTTGAATACGTGCTGCCTTTGTTGACCCGTTTAATGCCAAAAGATACATGATATGGCTTTCAATCTAAAAGGTCTAGACTTTGTTTTTCTTCTGTTTTCTCCCTTTTTCTAAGGTTTCTCAGTAACTTTTAAGTTCTTTTCATTCGATCACCTTCATCAAAATGAAAATTAAAACGTTCTTTCGAAGTAAATTTCTAATTGCAGGAGGGGTTTCAATGATGATGGTAGCTGTACTTTTAAAAAAAAAACCGTGAATTCCTTCAAAATGACCGTCTTCAAATATTTCTTAAAACCTCCTTAAACCTCCTTTTAATCGTCCGTTAGAATCTGTGTCGTGGAATTGCTTGTTCGGACATGTAAAAAACACACTCATAAAAGATTCACGAAGAGTCAAAACTTGTTTTTCTACAAAACTAGTCCGGCTTTTCATGGAGATGTATTCCTGCGGTTGACTTTTCAGCCAGTTGGGAAGAAGCGGAAACCCAGACGAATACCTCAAAACAATACAAACCATATACCTGAAGATATTGATAACATCCCCAGATAATTCGCCTAACAAGATAATTATTCACAGACCTTTCATAGGCTAACGACTTGGGCGGATGAAAACAGTCCAAGTTACAGGTCAGCCTCGCCAGTTGATATCCCTACCAAAGCATCGACGTCTCAGGCTTTGTTCAAGGTGAAAGCCATAATGGAAAACTTGCTGAAAGTTCTTGGAAGGCGTTTCAAACACTCAAAAGGATCTATTAAAAATTCAATCATCCTTGTGATAGTTTATGGATTTGAGGAATCCATAAGAACACAATTGCTCAGGTAAGCGGCCTATTTTTATGGATAATAACTTCCTCGGCCTGTTACACGGTGATGTAAGATGGTCCCACCTTATATGATTGCGTTTAAATGTGCGGAACCATGTTTTTCAATTTCCCACCCGCTAAAAGAAAGATATTTCTGCTTTTATTCGTGAATGACCAAGCGCAAATAAATGATCTACAAGTGAGAACAACTACATCATTCAAGTCAAAAGTTAAAGGTAAAGGTAAACTTTATTTAGCCAGGGTCGCCCATTCAGCGACGAGGCTGATATCCAAAGGGATCTTGGACTAAAAATATAATAATTAAAAATACAAGACATAGTGATAATTTAAAAATACAAGATAAAATTTAAAAATACAAGTAATAATTAAAAGTATAGAGTATAAACAAGCATGCAATAATTTAGAAAAATCTAGTTCCTATATAATTTAAAGATTGTAGGCGTCAATTGAAACTTTGAAAGAAGAAAGTGACTCGGCGTTTTAAATGCTACGGGGAAAGAGGTTAAAAAACGCTGAGCCCGAATATCTAAAGGTTCGTTTTGCAAGGCTAAGTTTGGGTTTGGGCAGGTGCAAATCTGTTGTTCTGCGAGTATTAAAAAAAATTGAAAATTGAAATCTATATATGACGTTTAAATAGTTTTCTCCCCACTGGTTTTATGTCATTTTGTTTCAAACAAGAAATTCAGCAAATAGAAATCTCACAGCGTAGCTCGCCCCGCTTCAAGCGAGGGATATTGAATTTACTTTCTACATCGGAACAGTGAAAAAGAGGCTTAAAACCGACCCCGAATCCTGTCCAGAGCAACAAAATCTATCCTAGAAACTTCATGGACTTAAGTTTCCCAAAGTCAACTGAATATCACAGAAATCAAAGTTCGTTTTCTGTTCGTTTCAGCTGGTCCTTTAATTTGATTTTTGTGATCAGTTTTGCATGTCGCGTTTTGTCCTAACCACCAATCCATGTGGATTAATAATTGATTGCTACTCAAGGGAACATACGTAATAGCTTTGTGACGGATCTTTTTCCATAATTTTTTCCTGTTTTTCCTTGTCTTGTCCTTGAATTAAGTAATATTTTAGATTCTCAGTTTTGCCTTTTTTGACAAATTAATTTTATCACTCAAGTTGATTACTTTATTCACGCCAAGTAGACATGTTATGATAACACGAATTAAACAAAATATTTCCGATGTGATTTCTTATGATTTGTTTGTGGATTAAATGCCACATGTCAAAAAATAGACAATCATAATTTTTTAAGAAAGACGCGTGACTAAGCATTTGACGTGTATATTTAAATTAAATTCATTTTCTAGAGCTTTAATTTTAAGGCTAATATTATTATTTTTATGAAGCTGTACTTTTAGTTCTGGAGAATTAAAACAAACATAAGTTCCATAAGATAATGGTAACCGTGATAAGCCACAAATGTANAAACATGTTTTGCTCACCTAAGTAAAACAGTTCAGATATAACCTCTTACTAACCAAGCAAAAGGGCTGTACTGAGGAATATTGACCTGAGGCTGTGTGCTCAGTCTGTACAAAAACGATCAAAAGCCAATATTGCCCAATGCAGCTTAAGCAAGCTGGGTTAGTACTGTTAATAGTTTATTATGTGGCACTTGCACCATGCTTGTTTTAACTGCAAATTTTGAATTTGCCAGCTTCTGTAACATACAGGATATTATCTTCTTGGTAACTGCATGAAGTAGTGTTTGCTAACTTATTAAAGGCAAAATACAGGTCAAAAAAGGAACTTAGATGTATTTTTCATTTTGTATAGAATTGTTTTCCCTAGACAGTATGTTTGCCCAAAGATATGTGATCATGAAAAAAGCTGAAAAAAATTATTAGTGAAATACTTAAGTGAAGTGATATAGTTACTTGTATTTTCATAACATGAGCAGATTATTTGTGTAGAAAGTTTAAGATTTGTAGTGTGTTGTACGTTTTTTTAGTTGTAAATAACTACAAATTTCATAACTTTTGACTTTTGATAATACAAGGGAAAGAACTTACACTGATGACTGAGTTAAATTTTCTATTAATTTAAGTCTTGATGTACCAGATGCATGTTCCACTTAAGTGCTACACAGTGTGCAATGTGACAGTGAGTGTCCATTTGCAAAAAGTACCATCCTTGAAGTTGTAAACATGTTATAGGAAATAGGACTGAATTCTGCACTGCAAATGACTGTTAAATACCTAGCATATAGTTATTGTGTTATACGACTATTCCAGTGCAACTGTACGACACCCAAGGATTTTTTTCTTCTTGATATTAATTGCCATCGAGTGAACTCCTTTATTATCATACTCACAATATCAATTATTTAATTACTTTTTTGCCCATACTACGTGATCAACGTTTTTGTGATTTGTGAATAACATCTGGCACAGACAGACCCACTATGCGACTTGAGTGCAAAGATTGTGTCGTCAGCTGAGTTTTTTTGCCTTGTTTTCAATATGTAAATAAGATTATTTTCTGCAATTTGTTTTGTATGTAAGCATGATAATTTGCTATAGTTTATAAAACTGCTGGATCAGTGATTGATCCATGTCATGCAGATTTCTGTAAACTTTAAGTAGTCATATTTAGAGATATTTAATGTTCTATGTAATTTGAAGAAAATTTAAACAGATGTATTTAAAAATTACTACGTTTGCTATTTTTCTCAAAAATTGTGCTTTAAGATTTAGCTTTCTTTACTGCGTAATAAGGTGTAAAGACGTTTCTTAAAATTATTAAATCATTTCAGTAAATACTACATTTTTAAAGAAATTTATTTTCTCTAGTAAAATAAAAGGAAGTAAGACTCATGTAGAGCCTAATGATTTCTTTGGAACCTTCCTCGCCACCTTATATCTGCAAATTTCTTCAACCGTGTTCTGTCAAGTAAAGTTAGCAAGCAAAGAAAACAGGCCGGCGATGAAGGGGTGATTCTTTTGTCGCACAATTAATTATCCTTTAAACTTGCTTAATTCGCTTTTTCAGTACTTGAAAACGCCAGCGATTAGAACCCTTCCCTTCTCATCAGCGCCAGAACTCGGCAGATCATAGGCAATATCATTATTATGTATGCCTACAAAAATGATGCATTACAGTTCAAATGCTGCATTCATAGATCGCACAGGCATAAAAAAATCCCCGGGGAACTCTCATACAAAAAAAGGGGGATGCTCGTCGGAAATTCTGGAAAGAAACCCTACAAGGTACCGAGATCCGGTGTTGTGGGCGTGGCTTGAAATGTTATTCACCCCTAAGACTAAAGAGGTACCAACTCTAAAACAACACATCATCTGCAGTCATGTTTTATTCGGATCAATACCCTTAAAGTATCAAAAAAGCTCCCTCTGTTGAATACGTGCTGCCTTTGTTGACCCGTTTAATGCCAAAAGATACATGATATGGCTTTCAATCTAAAAGGTCTAGACTTTGTTTTTCTTCTGTTTTCTCCCTTTTTCTAAGGTTTCTCAGTAACTTTTAAGTTCTTTTCATTCGATCACCTTCATCAAAATGAAAATTAAAACGTTCTTTCGAAGTAAATTTCTAATTGCAGGAGGGGTTTCAATGATGATGGTAGCTGTACTTTAAAAAAAAAAACCGTGAATTCCTTCAAAATGACCGTCTTCAAATATTTCTTAAAACCTCCTTAAACCTCCTTTTAATCGTCCGTTAGAATCTGTGTCGTGGAATTGCTTGTTCGGACATGTAAAAAACACACATAAAAGATTCACGAAGAGTCAAAACTTTTTTTTCTACAAAACTCGTCCGGCTTTTCATGGAGATGTATTCCTGCGGTTAACTTTTCAGCCAGTTGGGAAGAAGCGGAAACCCAGACGAATACCTCAAAACAATACAAACCATATACCTGAAGATATTGATAACATCCCCAGATAATTCGCCTAACAAGATAATTATTCACAGACCTTTCATAGGCTAACGACTTGGGCGGATGAAAACAGTCCAAGTTATAGGTCAGCCTCGCCAGTTGATATCCCTACGAAAGCATCGACGTCTTGGTTCAAGGTGAAAGCCATAATGGCAAACTTGCTGGAAGTTCTTGGAAGGCGCTTCAAACACTCAAAAGGATCTATTAAAAATTCAATCATCCTTGTGATAGTTTATGGATTTGAGGAATTCATAAGAACACAATTGCTCAGGTAAGCCGGGCCTATTTACTTCCTCGGCATGTTACACGGTGATGTGAGATTGTCCTACCTTACATGGTTGCGTTTAAATGTGCGGAACCATGTTTTTCAATTTCCCACTCGCTAAAAGAAGGATATTTCTGCTTTCGTTCTTGAATGACCAAGCGCAAATTAATAAAGTAAAATCTACAAGTGAGACCAACTACATCATTCAAGTCAAAAGTTAAAAGAAATTGAAAATTTATATCTATATATGACGTTTAAATAGTTTTCTCCCCACTGGTTTTATGCCATTTTGTTGAAGAACGGATGAGTCTAAACGGGCGAGAAAAAAAATCAGGCGAAGAAAAGGCAAGAACGAGAGGAAGAGCCCATTCTTCGCCCGAATTTTTTTCTCGCCGTTCAGATTTTTCCCCGCCCCCAGTAACTGCCTCTGGCTCTCCAAGGATGCGTCGTGGTTTGCTACCTATTGTCACGGAAAAGGTCACAGATAACTTCATGAATGTTTTCAACGGTGTCACATCTTCTAGTGTATTCTTTCACCGTTGCGTTTTGCTCTATTTCTTAACAATACCAGTGGGCTGCCTAGCAACAACAGAAAAGCCTGGCCTGACTCCGGAAATGCGTCATCCGGTATATAAATTAGCATCCAAAACCGCTATGGTCAGCTAAAAAACGAATTCGTCCTGGGTAAGCAAAATTCGTAATAACGTACGATGAAAAGGGATTTTGTCACTTTTAAGTCTCAAAAAGATTCCTTGCATTCTCGAAAATGCTGGGATTCCAGCAGATTTCTTTCTACATAAACAGCCACTAGGTTCAAAGTTGTAAATATAGGTGAGTTCTTATAGTGACGTCATCTTCCAACTGAAGAAGGGGAATCCCCGGCAGGGACGGATCGGAGGGGCGTAACGCGGTCGCGCGCAAAAGTGTTCATTTGTTTGGGAAACTGCGTGCTGGATTGAAATATCGTTTTACGTGGTGGATCGTCAGATATGTTTATATGAGGAAGTGACAGCAGTTTTACGGCATGGTATCAATCTGCAGTTTGTAATCAACCCCAAATAAGATCATATTGGGTTGTTACTGCAGTTAATTCAACTTTATGATCTTTCAAGGATATTGATTGCACTTGTATGTTTTCCGCTTTCTGCTTCAAGGAGATGAGCTTTATTTTTAGTCTAACTCCTTTGCGCAAGAGGCACTGCACTTCAGGAAAAATACTTCTAACGATTTTGGTAAGTTTTATTGTACAAACTCTTTCGAAACTATAATTGCCAGCATAAGTGATTCAGTATTGTGTGTTGATAGGTCCTTCAGTGGTAGTTTACTGGCTACGATCCAAAATTAAAGCACTCCAGAAAATAACAAGAGGGATCAGACTACATTTTTCTTTGCACAACCTCGCTTTCGGAATACGATCTAGGACCATCTAGCAGAAACATGGGGCTTCGACCTTTAAGAGGAGCGTTGTAGATCGGAGTTATGGAGCTCCATAATCGGAGATTTGTCTTAATAGATATAAGATTAATTGTTACAGAGTTAAGCTTTACAACGGGTTGCTGAGTTTCGTTACTCAGCTGTTTTCAAAGTCCTCAAACAGGTCGAGTGCTGGCCCACAACGGACTGACAATATTTTCGGATTTATCCAGCTCTGAAAACGTTAAACCTGTAAAATTTTGGAGCAATTATATTCCTGCTGTTAAAATTTTTAAGAGTGATTTGGCCACTTTAATTTTGTGACTAGTGAGTCTTACAGGTTTTTACGTCAAAGATCGAGTGGAGTTTTCAATTTGGACTTGATCTAAGTTTATATATCAGCTGGGTGGCCTTTAAATCTTGATTTAAGTCGATACTTTGATCTTTGTTGTTTTCTGATATGGCAGTTATCGCTATAACGCTTGCTGATTGTTTTACTTGGGAAGTATTAGGTTTGATTTTGTTACTGTGCTTTTATTCTTAGGTGTTTCTTACCGTCTCAACAGTCAGCAGTTTACCAAATAAAGTTCATGAGTGTCCAAACTGCAGTGGACAGTTCATCAAAATTGTTGATCCTTCAACAGGAAAATGTGTGGGCTGTTGGCCTTGCACAGAATGTTTAGATGGTCATGGTTCATCTGTTCCATGTGGAGCAACTGTACCTGTTGGCACAAAAATTCACTGTGTGCTATGTGTCAATGGTGCAAATTTTTCGGACAGTTATAGTACTGATCAATGTCAACCTTGTGGAGTATGTGCAGGCCAACATGAACATGTCCTCAGCAAATGCACACGTGAAAGAGATGTCAAGTGCAATTGCAAAGCAGGGTTTTATCGGAACAAAACAAATGATAAATGTCTTCCCTGTAGTTCCTGCCCTAGCTGCTTGAGGGANAAGAAGCGGAAACCCAGACGAATACCTCAAAACAATACAAACCATATACCTGAAGATATTGATAACATCCCCAGATAATTCGCCTAACAAGATAATTATTCACAGACCTTTCATAGGCTAACGACTTGGGCGGATGAAAACAGTCCAAGTTATAGGTCAGCCTCGCCAGTTGATATCCCTACGAAAGCATCGACGTCTTGGTTCAAGGTGAAAGCCATAATGGCAAACTTGCTGGAAGTTCTTGGAAGGCGCTTCAAACACTCAAAAGGACCTATTAAAAATTCAATCATCCTTGTGATAGTTTATGGATTTGAGGAATTCATAAGAACACAATTGCTCAGGTAAGCGGCCTATTTTTTTATGAATAATAACTTCCTCGGCCTGTTACCCGGTGATGTAAGATGGTCCCACCTTACATGATTGCGTTTAAATGTGCGGAACCATGTTTTTCAATTTCCCACCCGCTAAAAGAAAGATATTTCTGCTTTCATTCGTGAATGACCAAGCGCAAATAAATAATATACAAGTGAGAACAACTTTATCATTCAAGTCAAAAGTTAAAAGTAATTGAAAATTTAAATCTGTATAGGACGCTTAAATAGTTTTCTCCCCACTGGTTTTATACCATTTTGTTTCAGACAAGAAATTCAGCAAATAGAAATCTCACAGCTGGCCCCGCTTCAAGCGAGGAACATTGAATTTATTTCCTACATCGGAACAGTGAAAAAGAGGCTAAAAGTCGACCCCGAATCCTGTCCAGAGCAACAACATCTATCTTAGAAACTGCATGGACTCTAGTTTCGCAAAAGTCATCTGAATATCATAGAAATCAAAGTTCGTTTTCTGTTGGTTTCAGCTGGTCCTTTAATTTGATTTTTGTGATCAGTTTTGCATGTCGCGTTTTGTCCTAACCACCGATCCATGTGGATTAATAATTGATTGCTACTCAAGGGAACATACGTAATAGCTTTGTGACGGATCTTTTGTCCATATTTTGTTTTCCTGTTTTTCCTTGTCTTGTCATTGAATCAACTAAAATTTTAGATTCTCAGTTTTGCCTTTTTTAACAAATTAATTTTGTTACTCAAGCTGACTACTTTATTCACGCCAAGTGGACATGTTATGATAACACGAATTAAACAAAATATTTCCGATGTGACTTCTTATGAGTTGTTTGTGGATCAAATGCCACATGTGAAAAATAGACATAATAATTTTAATTTTTTAAGAAAGACGCGTGACCAAACATTTGACGTGTATATTTAAATTGAATTCATTTTCTAGAGCTTGTATAGTGGTTCTGAAGAAAAAAATCGAAATTGCATTTCGCTATTTCGTCGGAATGTGAATCACAGTCTCCCAATTTCCTTTCCCCAAGAAAGTGTAAAATAAAACTTTACTCAGTTACTGCTGCGAAAATAACCAAACCTCCCTTGTCATATAACTAAAAATCTGCAATTTTCCACTCAGTTTATAATAGCGATAACCCCAACATAAATCAAAGTGGCATAGTAGACTTGAGTAAAGCGCGGAAAATATCGCCAAATCAAATTCTCAAGTTAGCATGAGGTTATGCATTTGATTTGCGAGCAGATAAATCTCTGCTCTTATTGGTCAGGATCATAATTGCTTTTCAAAGCATATCAAAACTTATGTATTTAACGCATTATTAAACATGTTTTCTCGCAACAGATGTCCCTGCAGAAATTATTTCATGTACAGCCTCGTTATGATGATAGGCCCCGCCCTCTTCCTTTTGGGCCTCGGTTTCATGACGAGTGAAGGCTTTTGGCAGTCCATACTCAAGACGAGTAGACTACAACATGCCAACGAGAGATGTAATTACCGTATGAAGTCGCTGTCTAAGCTTTTTCAGCCATTTCTTCCACCCATGGCGTACATTACCATCGCCTTATTGCACGGAGACTTTCTCGTGTGTTCAAGCTTAGGCTCGTTTAGTGCAACTTGCTACAGCAATATTCCAGACACGATTATCTCACAGGTAAGAAAGAACAAACACTGACAGGGGCGGATACAGGATTTTTTAAAGGGAGTGGCTGGTACCTTGGGGTTGCAAAATCCACGAGACATGCCCCAAAGACGTTGCAATTTGAGAATTGGAATCTAATTTAAAACTGTTACACCAGAAATACTAACAAATACTGCCACAAACTAGAAATTACTAAGAAGTGCCTGTCCAGAGTGTTTGTCTTTAATTCTGTCATAATATACACAATCTTTTTCATTTCTCTTTTTTTTTTTTGGCGTCTCTAAAAGAAGGGGGGGAGTGGTTAGCCACCCAATCTACTCCACCTCCTAAATGTGCCCTTGACTGATCATGCTATTGATAAGTTGGCACTTCAGTAGTCTGATATAGTGCATCTTCTCTGCCCTAAGGTGTACACACTAAACCTAGAACATCCCCAGATAAGAAAATATTTCCATGGAAAGCTGAAATATCGAAACGTTGGGATAGAAGAAAAGGTAGATGTGATTAGCTGGTCATATGTAAGTGGACTCGATCAGTGTGTTCACGGAAAAGCTTGTTATGGATTTGAATTTTATTCGCCACCGGTGGATTGCTAAGCAAACAGGAACAACTAATACTCGTAACGTCAGTTAATTTAACATGCAGGAAAATGTAAGAACAGAAGGCCTACATGTTTTTCTCCTATTTCATCGCTAATCAGTGGTTCTCGCTTTTTACTTGACCCCCATACTCTACCTTTAATATTTATCAACCGAAAAGGTATACGGTAAAGATAAAAAAGCTGTAATTTTTAATGTTAATTGTGAGGAAATAAAGTATGTTATGTTATCTGTACTCCTCAGAAACCCACTGAGCGGAATGTTCTTAAGCTGCACATGCAGTCCCAGATCCTTGGTTTCGGCATCCTGATCGCGGCCACTCTATTTTCGCTGGGCCTCGTTTGCATTCGGAGATGCTGTTTTGAGGATGATACGCTTCCAAACCGTGACGACTTCAACGAACTCGAGAAAAAGATACTCAGCAGGTTATTCCACGATAAACTACACGTTGTGGTGGAAGAAGACATAAAGAAGAAGGTAAACGAGGCGTTTCAGCTTAGCAGAACCAGCAGAGATGTGAGAGAATCGTTTCACAAAGCCAAAGAAGCACTGACAGCTGTCAGTCATCTTGACAACAGAAATGGAAGATACAATCGATTGGATCTTGATGATGACGACACTGAGCTGCAGCTTATGGATTCCACGCATCTGTGATCTATAAATAAATTCTCTTTAATTTAAACAATCTAGATTGCAAGGCGGTGTCCTTACTACGCCGGAGAAATTTCAAAACGCAGTTTTATTTCTGCGGTTAGGACTACCGTCTGCACTAATCCGTCACGAAAACGCTCCTCAAACCGGAGGAACTTGAAAAATGGCAGATTTTCGTTTTCGTGTGGACGGAAAACATTTTGAAAACGGAGCTTTTCGAAAACGATGACAACACGATAACCAAGTGATTTCTCTGACTGGTAATTGCTGAGTTTTTATATTCCTCCGGCGGAGTGTGGACGGAAAACATTTGATTTGTTTTTAGAGTGAAAACTCCGTTTTCAAATTCCTCCGGCGTAATGTGAATGGGGCCTTAGAAGCTGGAGATCAGTTCGTTACCTGCTTTTTTTGCTTTTCATCTTTGATTTTCGTTTGCATTACATGTGTGTCTTGCTCTTTGCTCTGGAACTTATTGACATAAGTAGAAACTCGTTGCATAATGGTTTAAAACGATGAAATAAAGAATCTCATAAGAATTCTTGGATAAAGTGAAAATTCATTTCTTCTTTTTCTCCAGTTTTTCTCAGTTTAACAAAACATGAAATAGGCGTATGCTTTGAAAAAATTCTAATGTTCAGTGCACGTTATTAAAGTAACAGAGTTTTGTTCAACTGTTTCCCGCCACAGTCAGCTGCTGTGATGTTCAATAGTAGCAGTGTTATTTTTCCTGTTGTTGATGCCTCTGTTAGGTTGGGGTTGCACATTTCTTCTCTTACGTTAAATATTCCTGTGCTGAGATTAATACAATACAACTTGGTTTCAACGATTGTAAACTAGAGCAAATTATGATGAGGGGCTCATAATGCGTGGGCCAGTTTGAAATCCACAAATCTATTGAACAGCAGCTGTAATTGTATTTGTTTTCGTCAAAAGAAGATCGATTTTCTCTTGTTTTCGCGTAATAGAAATTCAGTACTGTTCATGGTGACAAATGGATTAGGTTAGTGGCAGTCGAGAACCAGCCGTAAAGTATATCTATGCAAAGTGTGCTTTCCATTTCCTCGGCTCTCGCCTCTCCCAGCCTGCAACACAGGCGTGCAGCCTATACCACCAATACAGTCTTGTATATACATGTCATACACGCATATAGACTATTTTTAAGTGGAACAGGTTATTAGTTACCAACAAAACTGTCGCACCGCGTCGGCGTAAGGAGTTTGTGAAGCCAGGACCCTACTTGTGAAGCTGATGTTTGGAGGCTTAACATTCCTCAGAGGGTTAGCTAGGCATGTCACTCTGACATTCGAAGAGCGCTTCCACAAACGACGTTTTTTTGTATTCATTCTATGATATCAGGGACTGGTATACCATTAATAGCTCATGAATTTAATAATCATGAATTGAGAAAATACCTCGATGAAGACTGATGATATGATGATGATGATGATAAATCAAACTGTTACTTTATCTCAATGAGAATGCAAGCATATTTTACTGTTGACTTACAACCTCACTTTTGACTTGAACTGTAAAGTGCTTTTAACAACATATGTCTTGAAAGTACATTACCATTACCAATTCTAGGCTTTAGGTTTCAGAAGTTCTGATTGGTTCACTGCGTTATTTACATGAGTTATTGATTGGCCAGAATAATAACCTTGGAGTTGGTTTTAATACATGCAACTTAAAAAAGTTGTAACACTGAAACATAATCAAAGTTAGCACCGACACCTTGATTGTATGCCAATCAAGACTGATTAGTCCTTGTTTTACACTTGATTGACAAAAGAGAATTAAGCTTCTGTTGGTCAGGATAAATTAAAATGCGCGATTTGTGAGCCAATCGAAAGCACAAAGCGCAAAACCACACAAACATGTTTATTCGCTTTGTAAAGTTGTACGAAAACAGCGAAAAGCACTTTAGCATCTATAACCCTAACCCTGACGTTTAAAACTAAAATGATTTTAATTTTGTCTAAAAGAAACCCAGGCATATTTATCCACGGTTGCAAATTTGAACCAACACAAACGTCAAACATGCAGTTATCACCGCACCAATCTAAAATGTCCGCTCAGGTTGATCAACAAGAAAAATGCTGTGAGGTACTTTTACTTTGCATGTTTCGAAAGTTTAGAACTGACAAGGCGGACAAAATTGCATTTCGCGCAATACTCTTTGCTCGCAATAGAGAAGAGCAGTTCAGAAAGGCATTCATAATTTAGGCGCAAAACTTGTCCAAATTTTTTCATACTTCAAAGGCTTTACNCAAACTTGCTGGAAGTTCTTGGAAGGCGCTTCAAACACTCAAAAGGACCTATTAAAAATTCAATCATCCTTGTGATAGTTTATGGATTTGAGGAATTCATAAGAACACAATTGCTCAGGTAAGCGGCCTATTTTTTTATGAATAATAACTTCCTCGGCCTGTTACACGGTGATGTAAGATGGTCCCACCTTACATGATTGCGTTTAAATGTGCGGAACCATGTTTTTCAATTTCCCACCCGCTAAAAGAAAGATATTTCTGCTTTCATTCGTGAATGACCAAGCGCAAATAAATAATATACAAGTGAGAACAACTTTATCATTCAAGTCAAAAGTTAAAAGTAATTGAAAATTTAAATCTGTATAGGACGCTTAAATAGTTTTCTCCCCACTGGTTTTATACCATTTTGTTTCAGACAAGAAATTCAGCAAATAGAAATCTCACAGCTGGCCCCGCTTCAAGCGAGGAACATTGAATTTATTTCCTACATCGGAACAGTGAAAAAGAGGCTAAAAGTCGACCCCGAATCCTGTCCAGAGCAACAACATCTATCTTAGAAACTGCATGGACTCTAGTTTCGCAAAAGTCATCTGAATATCATAGAAATCAAAGTTCGTTTTCTGTTGGTTTCAGCTGGTCCTTTAATTTGATTTTTGTGATCAGTTTTGCATGTCGCGTTTTGTCCTAACCACCGATCCATGTGGATTAATAATTGATTGCTACTCAAGGGAACATACGTAATAGCTTTGTGACGGATCTTTTGTCCATATTTTGTTTTCCTGTTTTTCCTTGTCTTGTCATTGAATCAACTAAAATTTTAGATTCTCAGTTTTGCCTTTTTTAACAAATTAATTTTGTTACTCAAGCTGACTACTTTATTCACGCCAAGTGGACATGTTATGATAACACGAATTAAACAAAATATTTCCGATGTGACTTCTTATGAGTTGTTTGTGGATCAAATGCCACATGTGAAAAATAGACATAATAATTTTAATTTTTTAAGAAAGACGCGTGACCAAACATTTGACGTGTATATTTAAATTGAATTCATTTTCTAGAGCTTGTATAGTGGTTCTGAAGAAAAAAATCGAAATTGCATTTCGCTATTTCGTCGGAATGTGAATCACAGTCTCCCAATTTCCTTTCCCCAAGAAAGTGTAAAATAAAACTTTACTCAGTTACTGCTGCGAAAATAACCAAACCTCCCTTGTCATATAACTAAAAATCTGCAATTTTCCACTCAGTTTATAATAGCGATAACCCCAACATAAATCAAAGTGGCATAGTAGACTTGAGTAAAGCGCGGAAAATATCGCCAAATCAAATTCTCAAGTTAGCATGAGGTTATGCATTTGATTTGCGAGCAGATAAATCTCTGCTCTTATTGGTCAGGATCATAATTGCTTTTCAAAGCATATCAAAACTTATGTATTTAACGCACTACTAAACATGTTTTCTCGCAACAGATGTCCCTGCAGAAATTATTTCATGTACAGCCTCGTTATGATGATAGGCCCCGCCCTCTTCCTTTTGGGCCTCGGTTTCATGACGAGTGAAGGCTTTTGGCAGTCCATACTCAAGACGAGTAGACTACAACATGCCAACGAGAGATGTAATTACCGTATGAAGTCGCTGTCTAAGCTTTTTCAGCCATTTCTTCCACCCATGGCGTACATTACCATCGCCTTATTGCACGGAGACTTTCTCGTGTGTTCAAGCTTAGGCTCGTTTAGTGCAACTTGCTACAGCAATATTCCAGACACGATTATCTCACAGGTAAGAAAGAACAAACACTGACAGGGGCGGATACAGGATTTTTTAAAGGGAGTGGCTGGTACCTTGGGGTTGCAAAATCCACGAGACATGCCCCAAAGACGTTGCAATTTGAGAATTGGAATCTAATTTAAAACTGTTACACCAGAAATACTAACAAATACTGCCACAAACTAGAAATTACTAAGAAGTGCCTGTCCAGAGTGTTTGTCTTTAATTCTGTCATAATATACACAATCTTTTTCATTTCTCTTTTTTTTTTTTGGCGTCTCTAAAAGAAGGGGGGGAGTGGTTAGCCACCCAATCTACTCCACCTCCTAAATGTGCCCTTGACTGATCATGCTATTGATAAGTTGGCACTTCAGTAGTCTGATATAGTGCATCTTCTCTGCCCTAAGGTGTACACACTAAACCTAGAACATCCCCAGATAAGAAAATATTTCCATGGAAAGCTGAAATATCGAAACGTTGGGATAGAAGAAAAGGTAGATGTGATTAGCTGGTCATATGTAAGTGGACTCGATCAGTGTGTTCACGGAAAAGCTTGTTATGGATTTGAATTTTATTCGCCACCGGTGGATTGCTAAGCAAACAGGAACAACTAATACTCGTAACGTCAGTTAATTTAACATGCAGGAAAATGTAAGAACAGAAGGCCTACATGTTTTTCTCCTATTTCATCGCTAATCAGTGGTTCTCGCTTTTTACTTGACCCCCATACTCTACCTTTAATATTTATCAACCGAAAAGGTATACGGTAAAGATAAAAAAGCTGTAATTTTTAATGTTAATTGTGAGGAAATAAAGTATGTTATGTTATCTGTACTCCTCAGAAACCCACTGAGCGGAATGTTCTTAAGCTGCACATGCAGTCCCAGATCCTTGGTTTCGGCATCCTGATCGCGGCCACTCTATTTTCGCTGGGCCTCGTTTGCATTCGGAGATGCTGTTTTGAGGATGATACGCTTCCAAACCGTGACGACTTCAACGAACTCGAGAAAAAGATACTCAGCAGGTTATTCCACGATAAACTACACGTTGTGGTGGAAGAAGACATAAAGAAGAAGGTAAACGAGGCGTTTCAGCTTAGCAGAACCAGCAGAGATGTGAGAGAATCGTTTCACAAAGCCAAAGAAGCACTGACAGCTGTCAGTCATCTTGACAACAGAAATGGAAGATACAATCGATTGGATCTTGATGATGACGACACTGAGCTGCAGCTTATGGATTCCACGCATCTGTGATCTATAAATAAATTCTCTTTAATTTAAACAATCTAGATTGCAAGGCGGTGTCCTTACTACGCCGGAGAAATTTCAAAACGCAGTTTTATTTCTGCGGTTAGGACTACCGTCTGCACTAATCCGTCACGAAAACGCTCCTCAAACCGGAGGAACTTGAAAAATGGCAGATTTTCGTTTTCGTGTGGACGGAAAACATTTTGAAAACGGAGCTTTTCGAAAACGATGACAACACGATAACCAAGTGATTTCTCTGACTGGTAATTGCTGAGTTTTTATATTCCTCCGGCGGAGTGTGGACGGAAAACATTTGATTTGTTTTTAGAGTGAAAACTCCGTTTTCAAATTCCTCCGGCGTAATGTGAATGGGGCCTTAGAAGCTGGAGATCAGTTCGTTACCTGCTTTTTTTGCTTTTCATCTTTGATTTTCGTTTGCATTACATGTGTGTCTTGCTCTTTGCTCTGGAACTTATTGACATAAGTAGAAACTCGTTGCATAATGGTTTAAAACGATGAAATAAAGAATCTCATAAGAATTCTTGGATAAAGTGAAAATTCATTTCTTCTTTTTCTCCAGTTTTTCTCAGTTTAACAAAACATGAAATAGGCGTATGCTTTGAAAAAATTCTAATGTTCAGTGCACGTTATTAAAGTAACAGAGTTTTGTTCAACTGTTTCCCGCCACAGTCAGCTGCTGTGATGTTCAATAGTAGCAGTGTTATTTTTCCTGTTGTTGATGCCTCTGTTAGGTTGGGGTTGCACATTTCTTCTCTTACGTTAAATATTCCTGTGCTGAGATTAATACAATACAACTTGGTTTCAACGATTGTAAACTAGAGCAAATTATGATGAGGGGCTCATAATGCGTGGGCCAGTTTGAAATCCACAAATCTATTGAACAGCAGCTGTAATTGTATTTGTTTTCGTCAAAAGAAGATCGATTTTCTCTTGTTTTCGCGTAATAGAAATTCAGTACTGTTCATGGTGACAAATGGATTAGGTTAGTGGCAGTCGAGAACCAGCCGTAAAGTATATCTATGCAAAGTGTGCTTTCCATTTCCTCGGCTCTCGCCTCTCCCAGCCTGCAACACAGGCGTGCAGCCTATACCACCAATACAGTCTTGTATATACATGTCATACACGCATATAGACTATTTTTAAGTGGAACAGGTTATTAGTTACCAACAAAACTGTCGCACCGCGTCGGCGTAAGGAGTTTGTGAAGCCAGGACCCTACTAGTGAAGCTGATGTTTGGAGGCTTAACATTCCTCAGAGGGTTAGCTAGGCATGTCACTCTGACATTCGAAGAGCGCTTCCACAAACGACGTTTTTTTGTATTCATTCTATGATATCAGGGACTGGTATACCATTAATAGCTCATGAATTTAATAATCATGAATTGAGAAAATACCTCGATGAAGACTGATGATATGATGATGATGATGATAAATCAAACTGTTACTTTATCTCAATGAGAATGCAAGCATATTTTACTGTTGACTTACAACCTCACTTTTGACTTGAACTGTAAAGTGCTTTTAACAACATATGTCTTGAAAGTACATTACCATTACCAATTCTAGGCTTTAGGTTTCAGAAGTTCTGATTGGTTCACTGCGTTATTTACATGAGTTATTGATTGGCCAGAATAATAACCTTGGAGTTGGTTTTAATACATGCAACTTAAAAAAGTTGTAACACTGAAACATAATCAAAGTTAGCACCGACACCTTGATTGTATGCCAATCAAGACTGATTAGTCCTTGTTTTACACTTGATTGACAAAAGAGAATTAAGCTTCTGTTGGTCAGGATAAATTAAAATGCGCGATTTGTGAGCCAATCGAAAGCACAAAGCGCAAAACCACACAAACATGTTTATTCGCTTTGTAAAGTTGTACGAAAACAGCGAAAAGCGCTTTAGCATCTATAACCCTAACCCTGACGTTTAAAACTAAAATGATTTTAATTTTGTCTAAAAGAAACCCAGGCATATTTATCCACGGTTGCAAATTTGAACCAACACAAACGTCAAACATGCAGTTATCACCGCACCAATCTAAAATGTCCGCTCAGGTTGATCAACAAGAAAAATGCTGTGAGGTACTTTTACTTTGCATGTTTCGAAAGTTTAGAACTGACAAGGCGGACAAAATTGCATTTCGCGCAATACTCTTTGCTCGCAATAGAGAAGAGCAGTTCAGAAAGGCATTCATAATTTAGGCGCAAAACTTGTCCAAATTTTTTCATACTTCAAAGGCTTTACTCTGGGTCTTTCTCCTTGAAAAGTAGAAGTCAACTGTAATCGATGTATAAATTGGGACGTAACTGCTAGCATTTTAGTGCGGCAGCAAAAATGTTGTTTTTCCTTTGCGAAACTTGAGCTTAAATTAAACATTTTGTATCCCACTGAGAAATGCAGGGGGGACAAGTGTATGATAGTAATATTATTAAGAAGAAACAGAGACAAATTAACGATAAAAAGGGCATCATAAATTTATGAGTTCTGTCTGTGAAGCGAGCTGTGAATTGATATATCAGAACGTCAAAACAAGGATTTCTGCGACTAAGTTTCAACTGGTTGTAACAGGGCGATATTCACATAAAGCTATTCTATGGACAAAAACGTTTTTTCAGTCTTCCCCAATACGTATATATATCTACTACCTTTAGAATGTTGGAAACCGAAACCAGGTGATAAGGGCTGAATCATTTATTCTACTGACTTGTCAATTGAGATCAAAATAGCCATTCAATTTCTCACCTTTCTTTCAGCTCTGCAATTTTCCACGAATCTCTATGTGGTATACCTTAACATAAATAAACTAATTTTCAAAAGAAATTATTCAATTTATGCGAATGAGTAAAGAGTTTTTGTGAGCAGCCAGTTTAAAATACGTCGCCGATCATAGTAAGCCCTGACTCCCGCGTTGGAAGTGGTACAACCTTCAAGTGCATTCGCATCAATCAGATTTTATGACGGTTTAGGAGGAAACGGCACTTGAGCTAGCTCATTTATATTTATTGCTAAGAAAACACTGATTCTGAGTCGGTAAAAAGGGGCCTTGAATTGGGCAAGCAGGTCAAAATGTCAAACAAGTAAGTAAACATCATTTCAATGTCTTATTAACGATATAATTCTTTTTAGACGTTAGGTTGAAAATTACACCGTCTGCACAGCAATTCGAACTTTACAACATAATGAAGGTTGTACATGGTGTCCTTGAGATAAAAGCTTCACGACGATGTAAAAGCCATTTTCCTGCGCCATATAAATAAAGATTATGATTTGAGGCAATTATTTTTTAGCAATTATGCGAGTGTGTATATTTTAGGTATGAGTGAACAGCTGCTAAGAGAAGTATACAATTAGGATTTTCCGCCACTCCTTAAAACCCCTTTGCCTTAAGTTTACTTTCATTGTATCCATCCGGTTTTTTTTCACATGAAGATATTGCGCATTCAATATTGGCGACAAAAGGATATTTCACAAGAGAATACTCGGAGTTTACCCTATTTTTTTAAATTTTAATTGGGGGTATTAGAAGTGAACTCGAAACCCCCAAACGACATTTATGTAATCAAACGATAATTTGGGCTGATGGTTCATGTATGGCACCGCCTAATAACTTGAGAAGAAAACAAGTCCGAGGGTCAAGGACCGAAAACATCACAAGACAACATGCATAAATTGAAAACATTCGCTACATTAATTCGTAAACAGCTGTTGATTTTGGAGCATGCGTTGTAAGCGTTGTGGATAAACACTTTAAAGTTTGGTGAGGAACATTTAAACGGACACAGTTTCACCGTGATGTGTTCTCCGCGACAATAAATGGCTTCCACATCTGCGGAGACTGCTCGTCAAGCGCGATCCCAAAGTGAATCTGCCGCGCCAAGAAGATCCATTTTCCGCGACTTACTCACTCCCGCCGACAGCGAAACAAGGTTTGGTTGAGCTAGGCAGAAAGTAGAATTTGTTGCGATCAGTGTTTCATTTACTAAGGAAGTTCTGCAGTTATTGCTAAGATGTTGGGTGTTAAAGTCGAACGTCCTTTAATCTCGCTCGTTGTCTCGCGAAGAATCGGAAGCTTTTAATTTTGCAAATTCTACCTCCGAAACATATTTATTTAGAATAAATCCGAATTTCGCTATTTTATGCGTGTGCTTAGACTGATCGAAGTGACATTTGCTAACGCCAGTATCTTTCACGTATTCACTAGCTGATTGTATGTTTTGTGGTAAAGCTTTCTCTGTTCACCTCGCCTCTGTCCGTGTTTTAACGCGGTCTATCGATCGTAATTAAGTGTTTATGCAATATTTTAGAATGTCCTAGCTATTTCTACATAGCATGACCATCTCTTCCTGCACAATTCATAATGTTCCCACTCGAAAAAGCGGTGAACTTTCAGGGAAGCCCGCCTATATCCAGTCCATATTTAACAAACGGTACTGAAAAATATTTTCAGCTTTACTACAAGTACTTTAAGATAAAATTGTAGTCAGCGACGTCAATATAATAAGCCTTCTGTAGATATTATTCAAATTTTTCATACAGGGCAACTGTCGCTCACAATTGTAACATTGCAAATAACACAAGAAAACAACTGATATCTTTTTCATTCTCTCGGTCAAACCACTGCCTGAATCATGCATAACTGTCACAGCGTAAACACGGCCTGCACAGGTCCACTTTGAGATCAGAAACTCAGGAGGGGAAAAATACTCATCACTAATGTTTTTGAAGCTTCCTTTTAATTAATATAGTTTCTCGCTATCTGTTTTACAGCCGAAGGCGTTTTTCTGATCAGACAAAATGAATTTCCTTGGGCTGTTACTTGGGCTGTTTAAACAATTTGTAGTCATTGGAAACTGTTATTGTCAAGGTTAAAAATTGCAACAATTCCACGTTTTCATTTATATACAGTAAATGAAAAATTATTCAAGAGTTAACGTTCTTAACAGTGCGACTCCAGCCACTAGAGGAAATTTACATTATAATTTACCAATTTGTAGTCTTTCAGCCAGCGTAGAATTAAAGCTGTCAGTGATGTTGACAATTTTTATGACGCATTAACCTGTGTGCATAAGTAATAAAAATGTCCCGAAAAAACAAATGGCTTGGGCAAAAGCGCTTTTTTTTTTTAATTTCACGTAGTCACTCAGATGCTCAGCAATGCAAACTAGGAACACCGATATTAGTTTTGTTTTCATTAAAACGAAAAAGAATCACTAATTACGCCCACGATTTGTTGAATTTCGCTGTTTTGGTCGAGGTTTTTGGCCTTTTATTTCGATGGACGCTGCATTGTAATATCTCGTGACTCAACTTACCTTTCATTTGACAATAGATTTTATATTTATTACTATTTTCTCGTAAAAGGTGTTTTGATATTCCCTCACCAACTGTGGAGCGGAGCACTGGTGGACGGGAGATACAGCACTAGTACCAACTTGTTATCTGCTAGTCCCCTCACCCTCCAAAGCCATCTACGAACTACCTACCAGGATAACTTCAGCTGCAGTTTTGCTTGAGACATCTCTCGCTCTTCAATCAACCCAACTCTTGCATGATTTACTAAATCGAGAGAAAAAGGAAAATCAAACACTGCTGCTCTTGCGGTTCGCGTGACTTTCAGTCTCTAGTCAAAATAGAACAATGTTTTCACTACTTGAGTCCATAAACACGTCACATGTGATAACTGCATGTGACTGCTGCGGTTTTCTGCTCACTAGGTGCTGCAGCGTGCAACATACTGCAATTATTTTTGGCCAATAAGGCGATATTCAATATGGAGTGTCTCATTTAAACCAAAAACAAAACAATTACATAGAAGTGGGTGGACCAATCACAACTTAGAAAAAACAACACAAAGAACGAAGGAAAATTCGTGGCAAGCACACGTTCTTGCACTAAGCGGGAAAAAAAACTTGAGTGTCCAAGTCGCATTATCGTTGCTTTACCTCTTGCGTGTGCGTTATAAAATGATTACGAAAAGAAAAAGACTGCTTGCAGCCTATATGACGTGAGATCATGAATCAATCACGAGAAATAATTAATAGAAAATAACAGCCACGTCCTTCCTACTCTTTGTGTTTATTTGCCCTCGACTTTTGATTGACTTATAACACGTTTCTGTTATTCTGAACGTTTCTCGTAAAACTTATGAAAACGGAGTATTAAAAACGAAAAGCTTGTTAACTTGACAAGCAAACCATCGTCACTGTTTTGCCTGCATGCTTCCTCTCTCGAGAGTGAGAGTTGCAATGGACCGCTTTGACGATGTCACGCAATATCAACAATTTTGATATAAACAGAAACCAACCTCCATAGATCAATTCATCGTACCAAACTCATTAAATATACAACATTTTGTAAGAATCCATTACAAACTCATGGAAACCTGGTGCCTCAAACCTGCCATTTTTTTTTTACAGAAAAATGCATGTCATAGGACAAGCGCTTGTCCTATAGCATGTAGATCTTTGCAGAAATGGCAAACTTGGGGGTCCCATATTTCCATGAGCTTCCAATGGGTTCTTACGAAACTTCGCGTATTCACTAAATTCGGTATGATAAGTCTAGCGATGAGGTTTGTTTGTTTTTTTTTTTAAATAAAAAAGAAAAAATAGGAAACGCGTGACATTGTGGAGGTGGCCCTTTCAACCAAGAATACACTCTATACCGAATAACCAATGACGTAGTTTCACCGAGATCCATTAATTTTTGCCTCCAATTTGAAACGTAACTAGCAACGAATCAGAGACTATATAGAAAACATTCTATTGAGTTACGTCTTCAGATCGTGATCTTCAGTACGCAATTCTTCAGGTTGAATCTGAGACATAACAACATCTCTTGAATATCTTGCGAGGAATAAATTAAGCATTTTAAAAGAGACAAGTGTTTGCAGATTGAACGTGTTAAGAAGTACTTTTGTTTTCTCAAGTAAGAGCTCATTTCGGCTCGGCCTGAACTCGGAGGCTATTTACTGCGAGAGGGAAGAAACAAGGATTCACTGTCGTTTGTTCCTGATCATTTTTCAATTTCTTACAACAAACGTTGTAGAAAAAATCTTCACTGATAAAAAAATAAAAGTAACTAAAAGACAGGCGTATGCTTAAGTGCTTATCCCGTGTTATTATTCCGATAAGAGACTTTCTCTTTTGTACAAAGTAATCAATGCTATTACTCTTACGGAAGTCGGTAAAAAAGGTTGACCAGAATCACTGAAAAGACGTTTTCTTTTTCTTTTGTTCGCAAAGATCTCACGTTTATGTATATTATAAAACGCCCATGAAATATTGAGTTCTTGATTCATTGTAACGAAATTAAAAGGCAGAGAAAGAAATATTTTGCTCTGACTCAGAAGAAAAGACTCAGCATGATTTTTAATTTTCGAAACAATTTTGCGCACAATTAAAAAATAGACTAAAAACTGTCTCTCTTTTGTGTGAAACTCACGATTTCTGGGAACACAAAAATACAAGCACATTTTACCAGGATTTCTGAAGAATATATTTAACTGTCAGAAACCGCGATGTTTGCTGAGCTTTGGAGGCAAAATGTTTCCATGTGACGAGTGCTGCTGTCTTCACCAAGCGCTTCAAGGAGTCATTGTGTTTATATTTTAGAACATTAGGAAAATATATATTTTAAGTGCATATCCCCTTTGTGGTCATAAGCGTGAATGAGATAAGATACTTTGGAGGTAATCTCTTCGCTTCTTCAATTTCTAACGCCTGTGGCAATAAACAATGCTGTCTTTAGAATATTCTTTGAAAACAATATCTTTTAATCCATAAATTTTACAGTCACTAGTGGACAATTGCGCGCTCTAAATGGAAAAGCGATGAAAATATTGACAAAAACACTGACGCGTCGAGAGAAAATTAATGCGCAGGTGGCAATTAAAAAACTACTGAGATACAAATCATCGTTCTTGGGGTCTCTGACGACAGAAACACTAGGACAAGTAATTTTTCAAGCGAGTGCTATTCCCAAGTATTATTAATATATTTGACAAATGTATTCAACAGGAGAACTCAATCACCTGTCCGTCTGACGATCACCTTGTCATCTAATTGGTCGAATTTACAAAAGGAGCCCATGAAGCCGCTGGAAGCCATTCGTTTGTCATATTGTCCTCATATTGCTGATCAATAATATATGCTCGCTTGGAAATTTCATAATTCGTTAGATTAACCAAAAATTGCAAGATGGCAAACGGAAATACGGCAGCTCGCCAAACTTCTGACGATGTTCCTATGTTGCTTCCACCTCTTCCTCCCAGTTTAGCAAGCCATCCAAGGTATTTTACGCAAACCACATTTTGAATATGTAAAATACATTCATCCTCGCTACGTGGTTGGAGTTACTATGTTATCATGCGCTGCTACGCGTGAAGACGAAGAGGCCCATACGCTGGCAACGCCGCAACGTGACTTTTTCCCCATACAGAAAGTTCTTTTTTACATCAGAACCGAGCGGCCATCGACTTAAGAATGTCGATAATTGCTAGATTCGATTTTATTTTCTACATCTATATTTTGAGACATATTTGCTCGATCAGGAGTTGCATTTTCAACACATGCACAACACATTCACCAAACATTAAACGTACAGTTTATTGTTTGTCTCTCAGAGCAACATAACACTAGCGATGAATGCCATTTTGGTGCTGATCTCGCACACCGCTGATTTTTTATTGCAATCGCAAATATTCCGGCCGGTGTTCGAAAACAATTCGTAAATGCCTTAGACTGTTTTACACGGTATACCTTAATTTATGATATTTTCTGGTTTTAACATCATTCTATAAATTATGTGTCACAACATGTGTATGCTATATATTCTCCAACAAGCTGTTTTTCTTAATCAAAATCATTTTTAAGTTAGCAGATACGCGATGGCGTGCATATACTGTTCACAAGCTTAAAATTTGTGAGGAATAATTATCCGGGAAGTGTTTAACGCGAGAAACGAATCATGTAACGAACATGAAACCGAGTAGTGATAAAAATTACTAGGTGGATGTGAATTATGAATTGAACAATCATTCATTGTTAAACCGCACCGTATTTCGATTCAGCCTCGGTCCATTCTAAGCGGAAAAAGGTTTAGTGACCAACGAGTTGAACTGAAAGTTTGCAAGTGGTAATGAGTTTAATGTTTTGACAACAGGAAAGCTAACTCCGTCATGTTAATGCGAGCTCTTGGCTGAATTGTTTTTCGCTTTAACATGAAGATATTAGATCTACAACCGGGCAGATATCGAGATGTTTGAACCACCGAATAAATGAACAAGTGAAAAATTTATTTTATTTTTCGTGTGAATTTTCAGAGCTGCAAGTGTTTATTTTTCATTAACTCAGGAGAGTGATTATAGCGACAAAGTTAAACAGAAAAAAGAAAACAATTCAAATTAGCCGACAGCAAGTCCATAGTACAACTAGTTAAACAAGAGACAGCCTAGTTATTCGCATATCATTTGTTACTCAAAGGATCAAACCACAGTTTCTCTTTACTGTTCTGCCGGGATAGTAGTCATACAATTCTAAAAATGATACCTTTGGAAGAATCTGGATCTAGGTCAAGGGTTAAGACGAGATTCATGAGATAGTCAAGTCGTTTATATTCTCGCCGCCTGCCTTTAGTCCGGAGAGTCGCGGCTGATGTTTATCACATGTGATCTAACAGAGAGGAAGAACCGGCAAATTTGTGAAGTTCACTTTTTGTTCATACCATCGGTAATAGTTGCAAACCTAAGAAGGGCACCAGAAAATGGTTAGGATCAGCATGTTGTCTGGTTGAAATCAGACTTAGTGGGTTGATGTTTGACAACAACCTGGAATGCCTACTTCTCATTATTCAAAGATAATTTATGCGGTGGACAGGTTTCATCCTTTGGTAATTTTGCGTCGTCTTCAGCTAATAATGTATGCGACCACGAGAGGGTAATATACCTCTCTTGATGCGGCATTCGTGTTACATGTCCTGACAATAAGAAATCAAAACGACAAGTTGAGATGTTCTTATCTTCCCTTATCATGAGGATTTCAGATTCCCATTTTTCATCTGAAAACTGAAAACTAACCCGAATTTTCTTTTTTATCCAAAGTGCTTATCTTAACGGGGTTCCCGCTGCGATATTTTGTAAAGAAACCAGTCCATCTGATAAAGAATTACTCAATACCCTGCCGCTAATGGAATCGTATGCTCTCCTTAATTTGTGCTTTTCTGACGGCATAAAAGCCCTTTTATTAAATATTTGATGTCCTTGTAAATTTGATCTTTTCCCGAATCTTTCAGATAAGTCACGTTCTCGTTAAAAAACCAAATTTTCATGTTATTTTCCATGATTTTAACTCGTCAACTTGAAGTTCACCGACGTCAGTCAAGAAATTATAAATTGAGGTTTTGATGCACAATTTGACAGGTAGAAAATTTCAAGCCTGTTGTGAATATCATATCACACCAGCTGTAGTAAAATCAGACAGTCTATCTATTAAAAATTCTGCTTTTAAAAATTTTAGAGAGGTAAATATCGTGTTAAACCCTGGACTGAGTGGTCCGGTGCGAGTGCTGCGGTGGGGGTTTCTGTTCTGTGTTCTTGGGCGACACTTTGGGGAGACAAGCTACTTCCGCATTGCCTCTCTCCACCCAGGGGCATAAATGAGTAGCGGCAGATTGACAAGGCAACCTGAAAAATGCTTTTGTGCTAGTTTTGGCGGGCAAGCTCATTCAGGAGGAGTAGCAATCTTCCCATTTCCTTTATGTTACATAGCCGGAGAAACCAGAACAGGCTCGGCGGTGGGGGCTCATTGTAATTTGGCCCTGAGCACCTAACCTACATCATTGACGTTGTGGGTCTCTGTCCAACAAAGTCTCTCATAGCAACTTCGTCGTTAGTCTGTTTGTTTGTTTTTAAAAAATTCATTTGGATCTGAATCGTATCCGTTCATGCTGACTATAAAGCGGCATATCGTATTTCTCTTATCACAAGAGTTCTCATCTCAAGCATGAGCGGTGCTGTATTGCATCGCTTACGGCAAAGGACCATCCAAATTACTACTTGATACTGTTGTCAGAAAGTTCGCACGCATTGCATGCCTGTTTTTTTCGTTTTCGTCGATGAAACGGATGAAAAAGATTTGCATCTGTAAGTTATGTTTCCGTTCGTGCTGTTCAAGCACTTTTTACAAAGGAAAGGCTTTCGTACTGAAAAGAAATGCAATGGAAAGTTCCTTCAATACTTTTTAGGAAACTGTAATTCTCAGTTTTAGGCAAAAAATAACCTGTTTTCATCAGAGACAAAACTATACATTTTAATTCGCCTATATTAAAATTCCGCGTCACACGACCACCTATAAATTTCGACAAATTGACACATAAGTTCTTTCAAATGTCACCGAAGAGAAGTACATACTAATAAGAGAGGAAAAATGAAACTCTCTATTCACACTTATGAGTCAGGGTTTCGTTAATTTACATATTTTTAGTGAAACACGAGACTAAATTATTGTTTTTCGTGAAGTTCAGCTGGGTTGCTGCGATACCAAAACCCAAACCGCAAACTTTCACCTGCTACTTTGTTATGGTGAAATCCTGAACATAATACTAAGAAACCACGATCGCGACACTCCATATATTTATCACCACTTTCGGTTTATGTTATGCAGTTTTCATGAGAAAAGTCTGTTCGTCAGTTTCCGAAAAAGAAAAAGAAAATACCTTGTTTCGTGGAAATCTTACGATCAGTTGAAAACAAAGCGACAATGAAAATGCGTTGTGGAAGATCAATGTGTAATTTTTCTGCCATCCTACAGGAAGCATACCGTTCATTCCGCTAGTTGTCGTTCTAACAAAAAATGACAGATATTTCAGCATGATTTTCTTTGTCGATTCGTGCATTATGACCCTAGGTTAAAACCACTTTATATTCCGATTGCAGCTTATTACGAAATATTGCTTTGCTGGATTATTACTGGATTATAATAGTGTAAGAAACTAGGTGAAAAAGCCTTGTGAGTTTTTCATGATTGCCCGTAAGACGCCTCTGCGAAACTATTGAAAATTGTTTTTTCAACGCCAAAAAAGGTGGTTTGCCTTAATTAGAATTCAGACCTGTATTTCCGGAAATTCGTTATTGATGAAACATGGCTGAATTTTTCATAACGTCGTCACTTGTGTCGTTAGCAAACACTATTCGTTTCTCACTGATTCTGCTGCGAAGTTTTCATTAACTTTTTTCACTTGCATAAGTTTGTCAGGCGCATGAAAGTGTGATGTTTACTCTGCCGAAGTACTTAATAATTCATGAATTTCCGAAGCATTTGACGAGGGCTGAATATTGAAGTAATGATGTCTACCGTAGTGGGCTGATTTAACGCAGAAATATTTTTCAAATCTGTGAAGGTTTTGAGGGTTTTGCGGCCTTGCTGGATTTTCCCGCGAAAAAAACCAAAATCAATACAGAGGATTGCGCATGACTGCAAAGATACAAACAAAATATGGCGACGAACGAAGGAAGAAAAGTTAGAATACAAACTAAAGTCAAGAATAGCCCCAAACCGGTTGCTATCACCACTGTTGCGAATGAATTTGATTCTCTTGGTCCTAGGTATCGACTGAGGGATCTTCTTTCGTCAGACAAAAGCGAGGACAAGGAAAGGTAGGCGTATTATGTTTTGGACAGTTCCTGTGCAAGATACCTTATTTGTTTTCACGTAAGCTCAGTCGTCCATCGTTTACTCGAAAGTTTGCCCAAGTTTGCTGGAGTGAATTAACCATATAACTAGCTTACTTTATTTCTGGATAATGAAAAAATGAAAATGCACGAAGAAACAGAAAAAAATATGAGCTTTGTAATGTGTTACTCCCCTTCATTGCAATCGCAAAATTGATGATGATTGTCTAGAGAATAGATAATCTTGTTAAAGGTTATTTGCAGGCTTTTTGACTAGTCATCTTGACAGGTATTGTATTGAAATCGCATCAAACTGTAATGCTGTCAAACCCTGTGGACTTTTTTGACCATTCGTACACGAAAATTGTCGAAATTACAGCAGATTGTTCTCTCGTAGCCTTATTTTGAAGGCTCTTATTACCGCCTACTGTGGCTAAAACAAAGTTAAAAAATATTTTCTGCCACTTTATTTTTATAATAGCCCTAGGGTGTTCTGTAGTGCTAACATTTACAGTAGAACTCTCAGAAAACAAGAAGTTGTCCTTTTAAATACAGCTGTAAATATTAACGACGGACATTTTTGGGTTTGTTTATTTTCAACTGTCTTAGGTTGCTCTCTGGAGAACTCTCACCTTCAAACGCAACAGCTGCGTTGAAGGTTATTTTTTCCCAAAGCTATTTTCCTGATTTATTCTGATGTCTGTGGGTTTCAAATTGGAAACTATCAATTTTTGGCGATAAGAAACCCAGTACGTTTTAATGGTTTAGAGTGATTAGTGAATTGTCTTGAACTGGACTGGCCAAATTACAATTTTAATGTTTTTGTAGGATGATTTGCAATTCAAATATTAAATTAGTTGGTCAACATCTATTCACTAGGTGCTCAAGTTTCTGTACTTCCTTTAGTGCTGTGTTTTTTCTTTGGTGGTGTGAATTCACACTGACAACTTCCTAAGTCCAATGGTTCTTTGTTTCTTTGGCTGAGGACAATAAGTTGTGATGAATTTAAACAGTAATATAATATGAAAGCAAAAAAGCTTATTATAAATTTAATGAAAGTGCATAATATACAGGAGTTGTGTTTGGAGAACGTAAACAGTACCTGCTTAATTAATCACTGGAGTGGCATTCTTGTCATTGTCAATGCACTTCAAATTTCAGACCTCCATTAGCCTAAACTGGAAGATGACTGCATGCAAATACCTTTTGAATGATAACAATTAAACCTATATACTAATTGTAGAGACTGCAAAATCTTTTTTAAATAAGGTTTGCATTAAAAGCAGTTTCAATGCAAAGTTTAAACAAACAAATTTTAATGAGGGAAAAATGTTGCTGTTCTTGCACATACAGATGTATTGATCAAAGGAGGAAAATTATATTCTCTGATGCAAAAATAGTCACCTGACTTAATAATTAATTTCATAATTTGGAGTTGTGTGCTTGATAATTTTCATGTACATCTGGTCTGAGCTGTTCAAACAGTGGATAAGTAAATGCTATCTGCTAGATAAATCACTATCCTGTGGATAGCATAGTTTGTTTTGTCAACACTTGTCCATTGTACAGTGACTTTTCCGGCAGATAGTGTTTATATATCTATGCCGCCCGTTGAACAGCTAGACCCTGCAAAGTAAATGTCAATTCTTTTAGTTATGTGCTTTCTGTAAAATGCTTTGATACACTGTTCAAGGTTTTCTCTGATAATGTTTTAATGTTACAGGGTGCGTGTTGAACATTATGTTCACGACAAGTCATTTAAAGAGAGAGTTAAATTCTATTTTGTAACTGATCAAAGATCTAGTAAGTGGTGTATATTAAATTATATTAATTTATTACTGCTTAAATTATTAAAAACCTGCTAAAATAAACAAGTTAGATATTGTTGAAAAGTCATTTTTTGGTGCTGTTAGAAAGAGACCTCAGAAGATTTCTATTCTTAAATGTAAGTGTTTTTGAAGCAATAGAATTGATCAGTTGGCTTAATGCTAAACAGAGCTTGATTACCTTACCATTGCATTTTCTATCAAATTGCATCAAATTGAGTTAATTTTTAAGAAATTTAAAAGTAATTTTACTTGGTCACTAAATAAATTCTGGTGCCAAATTTTTTGTGTCTTCACGGTACAGAATCTCTTGCTGAACCATTATATTAAGTCATCATTGTAAGGCTTTATTTTGACTTTGTTAAAAGCTAAAAATAACATGACTGCAGTGTTCAAATCTTGAAATATGATCGATATAAATGATTATCAATTCCTTAATTGTTTAATTAAAGTGATTGAATATTGTGAAGAACAAAGAGGCCATATTAGGAATGGTTCACTTTAAATAGTTTTATCTTAATTCTTTAATTTTGTTATTGAATTTTTTATACAAATGTGTTTCAAACTAAAAAAAATACTAATGTTATAACCTATTTAATGTTTATTTGTCTAGTTTTAAAGCCATAATAAAATCTTAATTTTGTTCATCGAAAAAGGTGACTAAATGATAGCATGATACAGTAATTAAAATTGTTTCTCTGGTGAAAGGCTAAAATCATAACACGCTAAAGTCAGCATCAAGCTGATATTTTGTTTTGCAAGATATCTTAATATTTTGTTTGTTCCATTATAGGTATAAGATGGCAGATATTTCGTTTCACTCTGAAGATAGTGTCATGTGTACTGTATGTTGTTCGTAGTATCCAAGACACAGAACCTAACTTAGCAGGCGGGTTAGTATGTGTATGCCGTTAGTGTACCGGTAGTGTGATCTATCCAGGAAATGATCATACTTGGATACTTATGTCAAAATTTTTACGACAAGGATCTGTTAAAAATATTTCTACTTTCCTAAAATGACTACCTTTTATTGGATTTCTAGTTGTAGGGTGGTTATGCAGTATACCAGCTCCTCTTAAAGAAACTCAGTGTCTATCACAAATCATTGTTAATTTCAGTGGTGTCCTATAGACAAATAAATTCCCGAAATGAGTTCTGCAACTGTTCATATTCTTCATTTATTACACTGTTTCTGTTTTGTTGCTGGGCATGTGAAATACATGGCAAGTAAACCAAACAATCAAGATTTGCAGTTAATCAAGGTAAATTAATTAACGACAGTGAATGTTTGCCTGGATTAACTTCAAGTTGATTATAAGTGCCTTGTACTGTTGATAAACTTTAACAATAACAAAGCTTTAAAGAGTTGCATATTAACTGTGAAATAATAAATCAGTTTTGACTACAGTAACTCTATCTTTATTATTATTAGGTGTTTGGAGATTAATAAATTAGTTTAATTTTCTTCAACAGTTTTGGATGTCCTGAAAATAGAACAGCTAACCCAGAGTGGTCTTGTCCTGAATACAAAAATGAAGACTTGTAAGTAGTCCTACAATTTCTGAATCAATAGAAAATCATCTTAAGTAAGCTAGCTGCTCTAATTGTACATCTTTAAACTTCAGGACTTAAAATTCTTGCTTTGACTATTATCGCAAGGCTTGCTATAGACAAAAATGACCAGGCTGTTAGCCAGATTAGCCAGAAAAGTAGGCATCCAAAATGCGCTATAGGGGCTGTTCGAATGAAAAATAGCCCTTTTCATGGATAAGTTATCTTATTTGCATTACAATGTAATCCAACGTGGATGCGAGGCAATTTCAGGCTAAAACTACAAATTAGCCTGAAATTGCCTCGCATACATGCTAGGTTTTATTGTAATGCAAATGAGCAAAGGTAACCGTGTAAAGGGCTATTTATAAAGCTACATGTGAAAATTGTCTTAAAAAGTGGGTATCCACAGGACACCTGAACCCTCATTTGGCCAAACACTTAGAATGTTATTACCAGTTAGCTATTTTTCTTAAATAACCTTTATTGACAATAATTCATCAAAGAGCTACTTCTTCCTTGCTACCAGTAATGACTAATTTGTTTGTTGGTTGATGCATGGTGTGCATTTCAGTGCTGGGTAGTTTGTCCAAAGGTTAAATGATCCTTCAATGACATTTACAAATTGGGAAGCTTTTAAACTACATGTCGTGGTGATATTAAGGAAATACCATTTATAAATTACTTTTTGATGTTCAGAATGTTGTAAATTCAATCCTTTAGATGTCAAACCTTTCTTAGAGAACATGTCCCCAAGACCCTCAGTGGGGAGGTCTCTGACAACCTCTTCTTAGTCACAAGTGACCCCTGCTCTGTCATGGACCTGATGCTCATTTTGTTCCACAAACTTCCAAAGGACCATAATAATGATATTTATGGCATACAGTCATTTATGGACACCAAAGAAATATCATTTACATCCACTAGATCGATAAGCCCACATGATTTTGATTTGTCAGTGACATTTTATCATTGATAATAATCAATTACTGTTTTATTATAAGGTGATTACTCATTAATTCAGGGTCCGAAATTGCGCTTTCCTGGTTGCCAATGCGACTAAACATTTTGCACTGGCGACCAGAA